AACGTTTGATCTCACCTTTTTGCTTTATTTGTGACACAGGCTTTTACTAAGACTTTATAGTCTACGTTAATGAGAAATACACTAATAAAATCCTCCGATTTGGCGTTGTTTCATACTTTACTTTCTCGTTTTCTGTCATTTTTTCGATCATATTCAATGTTTTCTTTATTATTCAAAAAAGTATCATCAATGCTACAAATTTGACTGATCCACTTTTTGGTTTCTATAGTGCAAAGAATCAGTCGTTGTCCCACCTTTGTAACACATTTTCTTCAATCCGGAAAGTAGTTAGTTTCTTAGATAATTTAGTCTGATTTCGACTTTGTCTTGAGATTTTCTCTGCCTTTGTTTACCTTTTTTTATACTTTTCTAAAAGTTACAACTATCGAAAGTTGATTTCTGTTGAAAGCATATCTAATCCTCACATTTAGAGAGAGTCGGAAACATCCAAACAAAGTGATGGGAATAAGAAACATGTTACATGGGATGACGCTGTGAAAGAAGAGGATAAGCAGGAGGAAGAAACGAATCCAATCAAGAAAGCAGCCAAGCAAAGTATGGAAGGCGCGAAAAAGGTGAACATAGGCATTTTGTGCTATGTCTTAGAAGTTAGCAAGGAGACGTATCTAAGTTAAAGTGGCCCTTTGAAATGGGTTGGATACCAGTAGATGAGGCATAAGACGTTGTTTTTGAAAACGCTTCTGGAGTAATGGACTTTTCACTGTGCAGAATAGCATTCAAGATCTTTAGAAAACGTCGAAACCTTAATTTTAGCTTAATTTTGATAAAGGAGCTTAGTTTTATTGAATCTCTGATTTTATTTGGAAACGCTTGTGTTTCTTGGGTTGATTTTTGCTTCTGGGCATTTTCTAGCAGTTTGCTCCGGCTATTTTTGGCAGAAAAGAAAGTTTTATAGCAGATGAAATTTCGCAAGTAACAAGGCAGAATGGAAAGCGCTTTTCGCTCTCCAGTATAATATCCGGCCTACGTTTTCTTCCTTGTAGGCAAAATTTTTCAATTTTCACCTACTAAAATTGAATCTGAACCGGCAAAAATACAACGTATCTGTGATGTTTTTTTTAGGAACTTCCTGACTATTATGATCCTGAGGAAGATGATGACAATGAAAAGTGGATGCAACAACGCAGAAAGGCTACAGGATTGACTGAAGCAGCAAAAAAAGTTAAAGAAGCTAGGTATTGGACTTATCTTTTTGGTTTTTAGGTAAGCACACTGATGTTCGATTTCAGGCCACGTATCGATGGAGATTCTGACGCTGTTCTATCTTGTCCTGGATGCATGGTAATGTTAACCAGAGATTGTCAGAGGCATGAAATCTACAGTGGCCAATACAGGTAAAAAAGGCAACTTTCTTTCTGTCACTGTTAGTTCGCTGTTGTATGCACTATTTATAATGTCTTGCCTTATGTATTCTGAAAACATATCCAACTGTTTTTACATTGCATAGCAAAAGTATTTTTACATCTTGGAATCAGCTTCAGAATCTCTTGAGACTTTTATCTCGTTCTCTGTTCTAGTAAATTTCGAGAATCTTCTCTTTACATTTCGCCATCTAATTCTGAAAATTTTTCTATGCTTCTTGTACAAGTTTGATCTCTTCCTTTGAATGTCGGCTTATTGTTTACAGAGCAATGTTCGTCGAGAACTGTCGTGTGGAACATGAAAGCCTTAAAATTGAGAAAACTGGTAAAGAGCGACGCCGTGAACGGCAAAAGTTGAAGAAAATGGGTCTCGATCCCAATGAACAGCCGGTAAGGCTTTTCCTGGTTTCTTCCAAATCAGTCGATTGATTCATTCGTTAACTTACAGACAGCTGAAGAAGATTTGTTCCTGCCAGTGCATTGTGCTGTTTGTTCGACCAATGTTGCCGTCATGGATCATGATGAAGTATACCACTTCTTCAATGTCTTGTCCGGTTATGCTTAAGAAGTAATCAAAAATGGGTAGCTGACTCCGTTGATCTTTTTTCACAGTTGAATGTCATGATATTTGGAAGATTGTTCAATGTCACTGTCATCATCTTTTGACAACTAACAGATATATTGATACTCAGAATGCCTTTTCTGTTTTTTCCACCTCTTCCTCTTCTTGCAAATATATCTTCAATAAATACTTTTATCTTTGTAAAGTACAGTGTTGCATGGTGTTGGCGTCAATCCTTGATTACCGTGAAAAGTATAAATCAGTGTCAGATTATGGGCATTCAGAATTACAGATGGCAGTGCCGTCGGCTCCAGAACTACCGCCATCTTATGAAGAAGCTTCAAATGGTGGGTTTTGTTTTAGATAGGTGATCTTGCTAATGCAGTCTCTAGGTTACAAAGATTGCGCTCATACTGACTTAGAATCAAATTGATTGAAAAGCGATATATGTTCGTCGTTCTCCAGAAACGTTTTACGATCAAAAGGGGTATTTTTAGACCGGAAGCATTTCATGTCATAAATTTGAACAACTGCTACTCGCTGTGCTATTACTTGCTAAAAATGTTTGTATCACAGCCTTTATCTTTATAAAGCAACTCATGCATTTCACAGCTTAGAAAATGCAAGACTAAGCAATTCGGACTGTCATGGAATAAGTGTTGAAGTCTAGAAATTTGAAACAACGCAGGCTTACTATTGTTCATCATTACTAAGATTTGATTTCGAATATTCCAAAAACTAAAATGGAAGTTACTATTCTTTTGCGGCACACCACCTTCATTTCTACTCAAGAGATTCTGCGCTGGTACTGGTGGTTACTTATGTGTTACTGGAAGTATCGGCATTTTGAGTCGACCTGTAATGTATTGGGTGTACAACCTAATTCGGTCCGTTTTTTTTT